ATTTCTCAGTTGATAAGTAATTAAATAAACCACCGCTTATATGTATAAAAAGTGATTTTTAGTATAATCATAAAATTCTTTAACTCTTTTTATCTATGCTCACATTATCTATCTATTCCTTGAGTCGTTGTCAACTGTTTCTATTCCTTGCTAGTTCCTCCATTGTCTTTATTAGCCACTAGTTAAATACGCCCATCCAGTGTCAATTTATCCACTTGAATATTGCCATATTGCTAAACTGACAAATCATAAATATATGTTTTATAATCAATTTACACGCACAATGTTGGAAGCATCCTTTTCGTAATAATAAAAAATGGCTTGTGCCAAAATAAACTAAAATTTGCATAGCTCACACACATACACTTAAATAAACAGTTGTGTGTGTGTGTGTGTTTACCCCTTTTTCGGTGCTCTGTTTGCTTTAGCCAACGGAAATTTATTGATACTCAGCGCACAAAAAACAAAACACATGAAATGGGAAAGGAACAGCTACAAAAAGTGTAGCCTAAGTGCTCTAATTGGCAGTGCCCAGCTAGGGAATACCCTGTCAGCTCAGCAGTTATGCTATGGATTATTGATCGATTTCCTAGTGATTTGTTATCGATTATTTTAAGCTAAGCTGTAACATTCATGTAGAAATACGAGAAAGTGTGTTCATCAAAATAGTAGTATTTCTAGTGGTATTACTACTATTTTTATGGGTGGTAGAATAGTAGTTACACTATTTTTAGAAAAAGTTTTACTGAAAGTATTATTATTAATTTTAGGAACAATATTATTGGTAGTACTACTACTATTTTAGGAAAAGTATTACTACTATTTTTAGGAACAATATTACTGAGAGTATTACTACTATTTTTAGGGAAAGTACTACTGGTAGTACTACAACTATTTTTAGGAAAAGCTTTTCGAAAAGTATTACTACTATTTTTAGGGAAAGTACTACTGGTAGTACTACAACTATTTTTAGGAAAAGCTTTTCGAAAAGTATTACTACTATTTTTAGGGAAAGTACTACTGGTAGTACTACAACTATTTTTAGGAAAAGCTTTTCGAAAAGTATTACTACTATTTTTAGGGAAAGTACTACTGGTAGTACTACAACTATTTTTAGGAAAAGCTTTTCGAAAAGTATTACTACTATTTTTAGGAAAAGTATTTCT